GAAGCTGCACGCATTACTTGTGCCACCTTCTGGACAAAGCATGCACTGGAAAACGAGAGCATGTCTGTCTCCTACAGCAGATAAACAATATTACACTGGAAAAATACATTACTCCTCCACTGGCTATATTATCTCAAAACAAAAAAGAGTCTTTTGCTCTCACTCCCTGCCTTAAATGGGGAAAAATAGCCCACACTTTATGTGAAAGTGAATACCTCTTTGAAACTCTAAGAAACCAGAATAAAACTGTATAAAAAAAGGAAACTGAATGTTAAGAAAAAACTTGCACTCCTAATTTATGTAGTCAAATAATTCTGTGTGAAAGTTGCTCCAAGTAACTCTGAGGTGCCACATTCTCCCAACATATTTTACAGGGAAACAGCACACTTAGGGCAGGTTCTGGATTCCACTGAATAAAACAAAAATCCAAGTGTGACACTTAGGGCAGATTACTGCATCCTTTTGGATGCAGACATGTGACCAACCAGCACAAAGGTATAAAGACTCAGTGTGTACCTTGCCCCAACAAGGCAGACAGACTATCAGCAAGTGCAGCTGTGGCTGTAAATACCAAGGAAACCAAACCAGCCAGAAGCACACACTCTTACATGTTGCTAGTTACCAGATGGACTAAAGCTTTCTATTTCACCTCTGAACCTTTTTTCCAGGAGTTCCTGGAGTTCTTTCCCTTGTTTCCAGATTTCACATATGCCAAAACACCCTTACATAATCTCCTTCAAGACAACTTTTATGAAAAGGCTTTTTCTACTAATCTCAGAAGAATTTTACAATGTTCTGAGACAAGAACTTTCACAGGCAATCAATCCAATTAAATAGAGAGGGAAGACAGGTATTGAATTTTACAACTTTTCTTATGCTGCAGCAAGACTACTGATGGCAGTAGAAGCAGATGTATCACAATTTCCATAATTAGATCCCCAGTTATGGGGAAGATAGATACTCACTTTAGGTGCTCCATCCTTCTGAATGCCTACATCATTAGTTGCTATCCCTTTCACGCTACCATCTTCATGAAAAAGTACCTTTGGAAATATTTCAACAAACAAACAAAAAACATTGTAATGAAACTGAATCTATTAATTAAGAGTTCTAAAGCAGAACTCCTAAGCACTATGACTTAAATGGTCAAACATGAAGATTATGTATTTATTCATGTACTGTATGCACTTTGCTGGATCTGAGCCAGGGAATTTAGACAGATAAACACAGTTTTCACAATACATATCGGTTAAAAGGAATGTTGCACATGTACAAAGATCATGACTGCACTGAAGGGGGTTCCAAAGCCACTTTTCATAAACACACACTGATGTCATTAGTACCTCAGCTGCTGCATAGCCTGGATATATCTCAACACCCAAAGCTTCTGCTTGTTCACCTAGCCAACTCACAAGGTGGCCCAGACGTACTATGTAATTTCCATGATTAACCATCGGAAGCCCTAGGCAAAAAAAGACACACACACATATAACACATCAGACACTAAGTAAAATAACCAAAGCTGTATACAGCAGATGTCACATCTACAGCTACTACCTTCCAGGTAATCTCCTGTGTTATCAGAGCCATCATCTATGCAAAGTGTATCACTGTAACCTATTACATTCTACATACACTTGCTGCACTATACTGAATCAAACTTCTTTTGATTCATGGAGAAGTTCAAAAAGACACAGAGGAAGCTGACTCTATTCTCCTTCACTAAACTTTACCTGGAAGTATTGGCACTGGAATTCTAGATGTCTCCGTTAAAATTCCAAACTTGTCTTCGGTTACAGGAGTATTAAGTGGAGCCTACAAAAGATAAAATAGAAGTAGAGAGTTATGTTTTCTCAGCCAATCCAACAGAAACAACAAAATCAAACAATCAAACTGACAGTCAAGTACAGGTTTAGTATAGCACTTCTTTAGGAAGGTATCACAAGAGAGAAGATAAGGTACTTTATGAGGCAGAAGGTACCCATTTTTGTTTTGTTCCATCAGTGTATTTTAAAATGGTACTAATTACTAATGCAACCAGGTACTGACTCATACCAGAATGAGTCAGATATGAAGTTCATTACAATCTAGTAGTAATGAACTTTGGTGTTTACATGCTTATACATACCCCTCGCTCTTTCCAGTCTGGAAAGAGTTCTTCTAAGGACCTTGGCTCGAGACAAGCACCAGACAACGTATGCGCACCAATCTGAGAAGCCTTTTCCACCAGACAAACACGCACTTCTCTGCTGTGCTCAGCGGCCAACTGCTTGAGTCGAATGGCTGCAGAAAGGCCTGCAGGGCCTGCTCCAACAATGACAACATCAGCTTCCTCTGCAAATCTTTCCATATTTACCCCTGCAATAGAAAAAAATGATAATAACATAAGCCAATCTGCAATCTCCTCCAGCCTCTCTCACTCTAATCCTAAACCCTCACGGTAAGAACAACTGAAAAAAACCAAGCAGATACATACTGAACAGAACTAAATCTTGTTGTGATAATCACTAAACCAAAAGCTGCTTGTATATTTTCTTTATGAAAACAAGCATAAAGTTGCTTCTGAGACTATTTTATAGCATTAAAGACACTCGTGAGATAGCAAGCAAAAATTTCCTTGGAAATATTAGTACTGTATTTAAGCGTAGAAAGAGAAAAAAAAAAACCAGCATAAAGAGAAAAAAAGCATAAAGAGAAAAAAACCAGCAACACATTTTACTGTCTTTAAGACTCAGCAACGACAGTCATAATAACAATGACAATAATAATAAAGCAGCTTTTAAAGAATGCAACGTTTTTTTACCTTCCCATCGTTTGTCTTTGTCCCGAGGATGAATTGTGTAGTGTGTAGTTATGCGAGGCACAGAGGCAGTAGAGGCACATCGTGAGACACGCAGCGAGAGAAGGCAATCTTTCTTTATCAACTTCAGAGCATGAAAGCACTGACGTGCTGCAAAAACCAGAAACAACTTTGTCAAGTCAGTACTTTTCCAAATTTTTCAAAGTTTCAGAGATGCAAGTAGCACAACAAATATGACAGCTTCCCCCTCCCAAAGACTACCAGGTGACATGAAGATGAGGAACCATAAACACAGATTTTTACATTTTCAAGTTAGGAGGATGCTATGTAATTTTTTATCAGGAGAAAAAAAAAAGAAGCCTCCCCTTTAAGCGATCTTTACTCAGTACACAGGCCAGCCATCCACAGCTGACATAGGATAATATGTGTATACACAAGTGCCAAACACATTTTAAGTTCTGATTTAATTTTGAACTTCAAAAGTTTTATTTCAAACTGCATTAAAAGTGACCAAACAATGATAGAAACAGGACATACAAGTTTAGCTCTGACACCTCAACACATGTTGAGACACACAGCTTGGGCTACTAATACTAGGCAGTTCAGCTAAATTACATGCCATGGTCTGCAGTAAAAGCACAGTCTTGAATTCAAGTGTGCTTAGCCAAAGCTAGGAACAGTAGATAGAGGTAACCATTTCCTTTGCTGCACATACAGTAACTGTTGTGAAAACAAATTAGAATTTCTGTGTAAGCAAATGGATGGAAAAGAAAAATTTCAAATTATCAAACCTGGACTTTTTTCAGAGGGCTATTACATATCATAGTTTTCCTCTTTTAGAAACAAATAATAAATGTGTGTGATCTGCAATAAAAAACTCTAGAACAGTTAGTACAAAAACTAGTTACAGTTAAAAGATCTGTGAACTAATGCACCTTGGCTAATAATTTTCTTTCCTTAAAAAATTCTCTATTTTCAGGGATAAAGAAGAACACCATATTTAAAGTGGAGTATTTCTGTAAAACTACATAAGTAAAATCACCAGCATACTATGATTGAAACTTTTGGTTGAGAATGGCTACCCTTGAAAAAGGCCAGCGCAAGCACGCTGTGTCATAACCCTGCCTGGTGACAGTAAGGACAGAGGTCTCTATATGCAAGGTAGCAAGTATTATCCATGTTGGTTCCTTAACAGGTATTCTGTACCTAACCAACATAACATAAAAGCTATTATCATACCACCTCATGATTCTTAGTTATTCTTTACCTGCAACCAGGCAGGACAACAAGTACTCTATAAGGTTGATAACATCTACACATACACATATATATATTAATTTATATATACTTAACTTTCAGGACTTTTTTTATTTGACCATAACTGATGGTACTAAGAATCACACAGCATATTAAAAAAATAATTTAATTTGCGCATATGCAAAAGAAGTGAAACTCTGCTCCGAACACGTCTGATAACAGCAGAGCTGGGTGCAAACGCTGGACGGGCAGATTCTTGCCCAGCGGGCGCACAGTGCCTGGGCCACGACGCTATGGAGAGCTCAGGGACTCGGAAAGCGACGGGGAACGCCTGCACGAGCCAGGCGATCCCCAAGGAGAAACTTTGCGGCAGTTCTTCACTAACAGCTGTCGGGATGCTGTCTCCACAGCTACCTCCCAAGCAAGGACACTGGTTCCACTGCTTTATGTCACCCTTTAGAGCAGGTGACAGCTAGCGTCGCTCAAAGATCCCGCCCATCTTTTCAGGCACCCCGCTGCAGGTGAACAACCCACGCCAGTACCACGGAGCCGGCCGCGCTCACGCACAGCGCTGTCCTCCGGCCCTGGGGCGCACAGAGGCCCCGGGCAGGGGGAGCCACGGGGTCCCTCCCGCCCGCCGGCCCCGCCGCCCGGCCCGGCCCGGCCCGCGGCCCGGGCCCTCCAGCCGGCCCCGGCGCGTTACCTCGGCCGGCGGACGGGCAGCGGTAGAACAGCATCGCAGCGGCCCCGGGCACCGTCCGCTTCCCGCGTCCGCCCCGCCGCGCACAGCCCGCCGGCCTCGCCTGCCGCGCCTGCGCGCCCGGCCACGGCTCCGCCCCGTGCCGGCGGCAGGACTACAGCTCCCAGAGCCGCCCGCGGGGACGGTGACGGCGGCCGCTGCCGGCCCATCCGCGGCCCCGCCGGAGCTCGGCGGGAGCGGGACTGGGCGTGCCGTGGGCGGCGCTCGGGCGGGAGGCGCGCCCGGCGCGGGAGAGCCGAGCGGGACATGGCCGAGGCGGGGCCGCTGCCGCCCGCCGCGGTGCCCGAGGGCTCGCCCGGCGCCGAGCCCCGGAGGGTCCGCCGCGGGAGCGAGGGGTCGGGGTCGCCGGAGCTGCCCGGCGGCGACACGCGGGAGCTGCTGGAGGAGGTGGAGATGCAGATCGACGACGTGAGTGCGGCGCGCTGCCCTCGGGCGGGCTCCGGGGCCCCTCGGGGGCGCTGCCGGGCGCCGGCGACCCCCAACCTCTGTGCCGTCCCTCCAGGCCGCCTTCTCGCTGGCGAAGATCCTGGAGGCGACGTCGGCCGTGTCGGCCCAGGTGGAGGAGCTGGCCACCAAGTGCTCGGAGAACGCCCGGTTCCTCAGGACGTGGCGGGACCTGCTGAGGGAGGGCTACGAGTCGCTGAAGCCCAGCGGCTGACGCCGGCCCTGCCCGCCGAGCCGCCCGCTCGGGGCTCCTTTCGACCGCCGCCCCTAGGGACCTCGCGTGGGGTTCTGTTTTCCCCCAGAGTTCTTTCACAAATACTTGAGGGCTCTCGTATGGATGTTTTATGTTAGTCTATCCAATAAAAAAAAACTTTGGTTAGGGAATCGGTTTTGCCTTTTAGATTCTTCGTTGAAGCTCAAGCGATCTCTTACTCTCCTATTTTTTCTCTCTCTTTTGCGCTAACGTGGTAGATACAAAGTTAGTATGAGTGCTACGTTCAGAACTCAGTACTGGTAGGGAAGTGGTGTCCTATGATAAAAAATTGTCAGCCCTCCTTTTTAAGAGCTGTCACCGGCAGAAACCCTGCCAACCCCAGAGAAACTTCAACTAACTTCATCTTTTTGTTACACGTACTTTTTCGTCACTTTGAGTATGGGACAATGCAACAAGTTGTGGCTTATTTATGAGCTGTAGAAAAATCCTATACACCAAATCTTACTATTTTTAGCAGTATTGCAAGTATGTCTATAAAGCTGCAGATTATTTTTTGCAAGATGTTTTATTACTGCAAACAATTTTACCCAACCTTTAGTTGTAATTAAGTGCCTTATGATGAACCCTGTATCTCTTCAGGGTAGGAATTTAGCAGCATTTACTGATAGGATGGATTATTTTGAACTGTAAGTGAAAGCTTCTATTGGAATAGGATCTGTGACATGTATTCTCCCGTCTCTGGGGAAGCACCTCAGAGGTTTTCAGCTCTGTCCTATTTTTTATCTTTGCCTTAAGCAGTGACTAGTTTGATAGTCTAGAGCTTACTGTTAATAGCACCTTTTGGTCTGAAGGATGGCTGATCTGTAATAAATAGCTGTCCTGACACTCCTGTACCTTAGCCAGGCACTGTGGAAAAAAGTAATGCTGAGATGCAACGGCAGGCTGCAGGAGAATGTGACTCTGCCATGACTTGTTAGCAGGCCTTATTTTCACTTATAGGACTTTGAGAAAGACCCGCTGTAGCTTGCTTATCAAAGCAATAAAGAAGTTGCAAAAATTATGAAGTATTGTCTATTATGGTGTTACTGATAGAAACAAAGGTGACAGTGGATATAACCATAATCACGTGTAGTGAAAAACAAGTAATGGCAAGGTCAGGGATCCTTGCACATCCCACCAAAGGCAGTTGCAGTCCTTGAGAGGGCTTGGCCCCTGCTGAGTAAGGAACTTCTATTGAATTGAGTTCTAATTGTCCGTGGCAGGATTTTGCTTAGGTGTTTTTAACCCCTACAACCCGAAATGTTGCTAAACAGCTTGGAAAAGAAGTCGTTTTGTTCAGCAGATAATATTTTATTTCAGTAGACATACAGTAGTGGAAACAAGATGCTTAACAATCTTCAGTTTCAAATCCAAAGATAATCCAAGGTTCTGTAAACAATTGAAGTGTGAGCCACACTTTTTCAAAATTCTACTTCTTATACTGCTAAGAAGTTAAGTGCAAACATTGGAAGTATCTTTTAACTTAATTTTAAATAGTTTCAAATCAATGCAAAAAAAAGCTTTTTTTACCTTTTTGGGCTTCTAGGCCATCAGACTGAATACGGTACTGAAAGAAGAAGGGAAGTTGTAATAATTCATAATAGAAAAGATTATTTTCAGTAAGAATGTGTGAAGGAACTGCCTCTAGGGGATTGTTTCATATGGGATATTTTTTATTTTACACTTGTAATTCTGGGAAGTAAAATAATGCTTCAAAAAGTGCTGAATGGCTGTGGTCTTTAAGTTACTTTAGCTGTAATGCATCCAGTCATGTACAAAGTGATTAAAATGTAGATGTCATGACACCTAATAAGACTGATAATTTATTATTTGACCATCTCCCTTGTACATAGAGAGACATCTTAAGACTGGAATTTGTTGAAGTCTGCAAGCTGTGGTGAGCTACTTTTGGTAGCCTGTTAAGAAAAGTGAGGAAAAGAGCAGCAGCAAGGTGCTGGGATACTCAGTCCAGTCTTTCCCGAGTGAGAACGGGGAAACTGCCACCAGTTAAAGCTGGGGGACGCTCAGCAAAAACAACAACAAACAAACCAAGCCTCTCCTTTTTATTTTTTTCTTCACCACAGTTCTGGTTCTGCCTGAATTGGAATCTTAAAGATCATCTTGCCCCAGCCTCTCCCTGCCATGGCCAGGGACACCTCCCAGTAGATCAGACTGATCAAGGCCTTGTCCAACCTGGCAACTGCATTAGAACTATCATTACCATTTCACTATTGCCTTTACATGAGTGAAATAGTCTGTAAATTTATAAAAGAAATATAATTTTTGCTTCTTTGGCCTTGACAAATGTGGTTAACTGACCTAATTATGAAATTTGAATGTTTTTCTTACAGCTATTGCTCCTTAAAGCTTTTTAAGAGATGATGCAGCCGAAATAGAGCCAGTCAGAAACTTTGAGGAGAGAATACATTTCTTAATGAGGAAACCAATTAACTCTTAAAAAAAAATCAGCTGTTGAAATGGGAACTTACAAGAAGAAAAAAGAAAGGACAGACAGAGAGACAGACACACACACACACACTTCCCCATAAATAGATGATTTTCAAACAATCTGCTTTCAGGGTGAGATGTTTCAAATGACAATTCATTTTTTTTTTTTCCCCACACTCGGCTTCTGGAAGAAAAAAGCCCCAAACAACTGATTTCTCATTCTGATCTAGGATGAACTGTCAAAATGTCAGGTACTGCTGTGAGATGGTAAAATGCCAGTTCTACCTGCAAACAGACACATGGCTCCTTCTTCTTGGCGCAGTGGTTCACTGAGCCCTGGTGTCACACCTCCCTCATTTTCCTCGTGGCTGTAAAGCAGCAGGCCCACGGATGTGAAGCTAACAGTGCCGATGTCACCGTGAGGACTCAAACTGTAATTACGTGTATGAATTTAGTCTTGTTGACTGTGTAGTCACTGAAGCATCAGAAGAGTCTGTACAAAGCACAGGCTTCGTAACCTTTGGCGTGATTTCGTGCATTGGCCACATCTCTACCCAAATGAATGATGGACCGTATGGTTTCTGGCTGCTTTTACCTCTTTTGGATCTTCTCTGTCTGTAGTTGTACCAAACCTGATGAATCATTTCTTTGAAAGGTCGTGTAGTCAAAGTGTAGAGAAGAGGATTCAAAGCACTATTTATTGGCAGTATAAAAATCACCACCCAAGAAGTTATGGTACCTTAGGGAGGGAAGAAGAAAGGCAGCTGTAATATGCATCGCAGTGTTTGCATTCTTTAGTTAGCATAAGCACTTGATGCCAATGCAGCACAGCTTGCTGGTGAGGGGGGAGATCATTAGGCTGAGCTCCTGGCACAACAGGTGCTTTTCTTTTTCTTCTTTCTGTTACACTTGCACTGCCTCTTATCTCCCTCTGTTTCCAGTACTCCCTGCAAAAGCTGACATTTATTATTCTCACAGTAGTTCCATTTATCCCTCTTTTCTATGCCACAGCTCCCTATTTGCCCTGACAGACTTCTTGTTCTGGCTGAGCCCCTTTTTCTTGCCCCAAAACCTTTTGTCTCTGCTTTGCTCCTTATCTCTTCCTGTGATCTCTGTTCCCCATCTTCTTTCCAGGACTGATGACATGCAGTCCTAATCATAACCCTGATCTTCTGTCCTGCAAAACTATCCTCCATTCCCCATATCCCTTCAGAGCCTAGTTTTCTCTTCTTCACCAGAACTTCTCCACTCCTCCCCCTAAAATAGAGCATTGTATACATCCTCCTAATTTCCTTCTTTTCCTGTTGGTAGGAGTTCGCTGTCTGCCTATGTCAGTCTGTGCATCTTTACAACATCACTTTCTCATCCTTTACTGTTTGGGAGATAAGTTACCTGAGGGGCAGGTGGAGAAGAGACAGGATTAAAGTGCTGAAAAATGCCAGTGAGTGCCCTCCATTGTGTTGTTTGGCTTACAAAATTGAATTTATATAACTTACAGAACTTATATATTGAACTTACAGAACTTATATAAGAGTTCTGTAACTTAAAACAGTTACAGAACTGTTCCAAGAGGCATAGAAACCTTCATCGGCTCTCCCCTTCCAGAACACCCCTCCACGCCCCTCTCCACTTTTACAACTTTGTTGCAATACCAAGACATTTCCTGGTGACGCCCATCACATTGGCTACAGTTTTGGAAACGAGCAGTTGCTTAGTTCTAAAACTGTCACAATGTATCACCAGCACAAAGCAAATGCTATCAAAGGAGGTTTACAACTTCTGTCAACTTGGGCAGCTAGCTGTCATGTCTTTAGTTTCACAAATTGAGTAATTACTGTTTAATCTGGTTCATCTATCACAGGACACTAACTTGCTGAACCTGAGATCGCCCTCTGATTCAGCAAGATTTCTTAAACGCTTCCTGACTTATAATACACCTGCTTCTACTTTTCAAGATATTTGCTTTCAAATAGCATAGGTGGTATGATAACTTCTTGAAGAACAATTTTAAAATATTTGAAATAACTGAACATAATCAGTGTAACTTCCAGGCATTTGAGAAGCATGTCCAAACTTTGAAAATTTCTACTCCCAACCCTCCTGGTCAGCACATAAGGCAAAATCATCTGAGCTAAAACATTTTCTTGCCAATGCAATATTGTGACATACATCTGTACACTGAGTCTGAATCTTCTGCTGCTGATTTTTCTGTTCATGCTCACATGTTCTTTCTAACAGGGTTAACAAGCCCCACACAAAGAGGCTTTTTTTCTGGCATCTACTGGTATTGCAAAGAGAAGGAAAAAATTAAGGTGCAATTTTAGTCTTTTAGGTTACACTATTTTTACAGGGGAATACATTCACAGCATGAAGAAGATAAGCAGATCTTTATGTAACTTAATGAGTGGAGCTATAAATACCAGCTTTTAAAATAAAGTAATTTCAGAATAAGTTACATTATTGAATCAAGATAGAAAACACTACATTGTCCTGAGACATTTAGGCAACAGAACCAGCAAAAGTCCTAAGATGAGAAAAGCCAATGCAACTCAGCCTTGATTTTCAAATATATTTTGTACACTTTATAGATATTATATGCAGATAGACTTGAATGATTTGAATTTTGGAGTTTTTCCTATAACTCAAAGGTGCCTAATCTTTCATGATTGTAGTAATAGAGTTCAATTAAATAGCAAAACTATACTATTCATTATATTGTGTGTACATATATAGATATAGAACATGAAGTTAATTGCAGCAATATAGTTAATTTCATTAAATTATTTTTCTTCTGAAGTAGAAGGAACATTTCATGCAGGCACTGTTGAAACAGCCTCATAAAAGAAAGGACATACCTGGTATTTCTACTCGAAGTAAAGAAAGGAGTTTCAAAATAAAAATAGGTATCCAACATAGTGCATCAGTAAATACAATGAAGAAAAAACGTTTAGCAAGGATCATCTCTTTTTTAATATGATTCCGAATTTCAGTAGCCATAATAGCTGTCTGGTGAACACTGTAGAACATACTCCCATAGGAAAACACAATGATGACAAAAGCTGCCAAGTTTACACCTGTTTAAAAGTTAAAATTAATTATACCTTAAAAGAATAATGGCAACTCTACATCACCTATTTGCAGTCTGGGTAATAAAGAAGAATATTTCATCTAAACTGCTAGTGCCATGGAACTAAGTGGCCAGACAATCTGAGTCTGTCCTCATCTGAAGACTGAATTTTTGTTTCTAGTCAGGTATTAATTTTATTCACTGATAACTGACAAAAGAGTGCCATCTGATTAAAATGAAATAGTCCTTCTCTGGCCTTACCATTGCTCTACTTCCTTAACATAGTCTATTAATTCAAGAACATAATGGTCAACAATTTCTTTCTACTTTCTCATCCCTTCATGCATTTTAAGATAAGAAGGTACACATCTATTACAGTAAAGCATTTATATTGGAAATGGTCTTTAAAAGATTGCTGGAGCATCTAAATCCAAGGAGGTGTGAACATCACAGCTATCTTAATTGTTTGAAAACTTGGTTTTGCAGCTCTAGTAATACATAAAGAAGAAAAGTAACTTACCTAAGAAAATCACAACAGAATAAATCTGACTTCCTGAACTTTCTGATTGTTCTGAGTGAAGAGGAAAACAGACGCCATTGGTGCCATAGTAGTTCCTGAAAAATTCCTTATTGCTCAGTGGGATAAAAGCAACAGCAAACCCAATTATCCAGATAAGAACCAAAATGGAAATTGTCCTGCCTTTTCTGGGCTTCAAACACCTAAAAGGATAAACTATGCAGATGTATTTTTCCAAAGTCAGATAAGTCAACAGTAAGACTGACACCTCTGTAGACAGAATAGCCAGCGATCCAACCAACTGACAGTGAACACTGTCCATCCACAACTGAGCGTGCTTGTTGTATTCTCCACGATATTTAAGATCAAAAGCTCCAATCACAAATAAATATATTCCCATCAGACAGTCAGCACCTGTGGGCACAGTGCTTAACATCATTATTTACACATCTGAATTTCCCATTCTCTCTGTATATGTATCTTGGAAAACAGACATACACACACACACACATAAATAAATATGTAAGTATCTATTTACAAGTAAGCTACTACACAGACACACACACACACATACTCACGTAAACAAATATGTAAATATCTATTTACAAGTAAGCTACTACATAGATATAAAATAGATATTAGATATAAAATCAATGTTACATCTGGAATAGTACTATGAATTACAATTAAGTAATTATAATTACTTAATTATAGTAATTACTTAGTAATTAAGTAATTATATTCCTTTTTCCTATTTTTGCTTTCCTTTTCATTTGGTCTGACAGTCCATGTTTCATACTTGTTTCCATTTTTAAAAGCTCTGGTAAAATTGTTTTGCAAATAGAAAAATATACATTTTTATTTATAGAAATATTCTTGCAACACTTTTAAATTAGGTCTTATTTCTTTATTTATTTATATATTAACATTTGGCTTAAGATAATTTTCTTTGAGTAGGCCATCTCTGCTGGATTCAAAGTTTATTTTTTCCACCTTATGCTGGTTCAAAACTCGTGTGCATAGTCTCCTAAGACTAAGGGGAGACGACCTGTCAACACAGAACTGAAGGCTTCATGGGTATTTTGCATAGTATTCAGATTGTTTTATGGGAAAAACAAAGTTTCACAATCACCGCACTGCTGTATTTAGAAAAGTTGCAATAATTTTATGCACTGTTGACAACTACCTGTCAAAATACATCTAATTGCATTTGTGCAATGCTTATAGACTCTCCTGTATTGAGAGACTCAGGACTGTAGTGATTGCATTGCCAAGCAGTTAATCCATTAACTTGTTGTGCTTTCAGGAATGAAATAAAAAAAATCATCCTAATTCCTAATATTGGTGAGCTAGGGTAGATTAATTTTCTATTTTTGCATAAACAACCTTTTGTTTGTGCAAATAGACTATTTGAACACAATAATTATGTGCAGAAGTTGCTACTTACTGAGAAATGCATAGTAAAATATAGGTTTTTGGGTATTTGAAACGTTGGAATTTTATTTCTTCTTGCTGAAGAAAGTGGGAATTTGACAGAATTCCCACAGCATGAAAATCAAACATGAAATCTTTGGAATGTCCTGGTGGCCAAAGGCAGCATTTAATGAGACCTCTTGGTATATAAGCCACAGCATTTGTGTTTTCATTTGCAACATCATGAAAACAGAGTTAATCCAGTGCTGGAAATACATCACTGCACTATAATAACAAATATCACACACACTACAAGCAGACTAAAAAGATATTCTAGATATGGAGTACTCACAGCAGAGAGACATTATGGAGATGGCATGCAGCTTGTTCTCCGATCTGATGTAAGGCCTCATGCAGATAACAAAAATGTTTCCGAAGCAGGTAATGGCAGATACAACCCAGACAAACACTCTCTGTATGATGCTAGCTAAAAGATTCTCGAGGGAGGAGATCCCATCAGTGTTGGGTTTGCAGCTGCGCACGTGAGGAGCATACCCACAGTACTGGAATTTCTTAAAATATCTGGTTGTGAGAGACAGATGAGAGCTTGTTCTAGATTGGTTGTCAGAATATCAAAATGATCTAGTAACTACTCAGAAAACATATTCTGAAAGAAGAAAAGTAAATTAAAAATGGTCAAAATTTGACAACTGCTCACGTGCTGCTTTTCATACACTCTTGTTTTCAATTATTCAGTATTCTGTAATTGTAAAATTCAGGCCAAAGAAAGCATACTTTCTAAAATAATCTACTTACATGTGGGAAAGGTTTCTCAGGGGACTGAACATTCTCCTCTGGATGTTTGCAATTTCAATGCCCTCCAAGCTGCTGTAAAAACACGTTCTCAGTAAAAGGCCATAGAAACTCAGTAGCAGAAAACCAAATTTTATGAGCATTTTGTTGTGATTTTATGATTATAGGAAACTAGAGAAGAACTTTATTGCATCTAATTTGTCAACCCTTTGAGACCTGATCAAAAAGACTTCATAAAATCTGGAGTGGAACAAAAAGTGCAAGTAATTTTAATAAACTCACTGCTATTCCAGATTTATGAAGAAAACTCTTAGTGCTGCTCTCAGTCATGAGAATTGATGAATGTCTGATTAATATGTCGCCCTTTCAAAGTACTATTCTACTGATGTTCTTTCACCATTTCTGGGGAAATAATAACTTGTTCTAGTAGTAATATTTTTCTTTTTTCTCTTCTCTCTTTTATTCCAGGGAGTGCTTTACTGGACAAACAAACCAACCCAAAATCTCAGTCTCTTCATTATGTCAAAACCAGCAGGAAGCTGGGACACAGAACACAGCATGTAAGAAAAAATGCTGGCTTTTTTGTGACACACAGGTGGGATTCCTTATTTTAAATTTCATATCTAGATATATGAAAGTAGTAATATTTTTCCCCTGCAGTGCTAGATCAATACAATTTAACTCTGTAAGAAGTTCTTTTAGAACTTCAGGCTCTGTATTGTTCCAGTCCCTCCTATCCTCTGGTTAGATGTGCACCTGGTCAGGGGTCTTTGGTTCTCTTGTGGGAAGCCTTATTTTGATTTATTGTTCAAAGTGTTCCAGTCCCTCCTATCCTCTGGTTAGATGTGCACCTGGTCAGGGGTTTTTGGTTCTTCTTGTGGGGAACCTTATTTGGATTTATTGTTCAAATATTTGAATGTAATATTCCTGTGAGTTCTGAATTCATTTAGGCAAAAATGGAGAATTGGTCAGTTCATGTGGACTGGTGGGCAGTTTTGCTGGCAGACATGAGAAAGCCCCAACATGGAATTGTGCTACTTTTATTTAAGTCCTGCAATGAATCCTAGGGAGTGGTTTCCCCAACTATTTCTACTATTTCAAACAGATAAAGAGGGAACTGGTGTTCTACAAACGGCCAAAATACAGTTGCCTGTTGATCTATCTCAAGATTTAACAGGTTTTTTTTTTTAACTAAAACAGGTGGAAGGCTATGATCACTGAGTTGTATGAGTTCTTTGATGTTAAATAATAGATAAAATGATAAAATCAAGCTGTGGCTTGACTGTTAAGGAGGTAATTGGTTATTATTTTCTGTGCTCAGCTGCTTATTTTCATAACACTTATATAAATTAGTATTTTCAGTTCATTAGTCTTTTACCAAATTTGGTTGAATTTGGCCAGGGGGCTCCAGTCACTGTGAGGAAGCTGGTCTGATCAAAAAAGGTATGTGTACTGCTAGCTACAGCTCACACATAATCATATCAGGTCAAATCATAAACTCCTGCTGCACTGCTGTCCAAGAAAACATCTGATTTTTAATCACAACCATTTTTAGTAGGGCCTGCTGCAATATGACAAGGGGTAATTGTTTTAAACTAAAAAAATGGTAGATTTAGACTAGATATTAGGAAAAAATTCTTTATGAATAGGTGGTGAAACACTGGAGTAGGTGGTCTAGAAAGGTGGTAGATTCCCCATGCCTGGGAATGACATTCCTGGTCAGACTGGACAGAGCTCTGAGCAACCTCACCTAGTTGAAGATGTCCCTGCTCATTACAGGGAACTGAGCTAGAGGACTTGTAAGGGTCACTGCCAAAACAAACTATTCTATGATTTTGAAGTGATGTCTGACAAGAACCAATACTTCAGAGGTGAAGTGACCAGTGAAGAGGTACTTAAATCTACTGTAGGATAATTTCAGATTTGCAAGATTGTTGCTGCATTGTCTCAAAGTTTTAGGAGGAGCTCTGCTGGCAGAATTCAAGTTAGAGCTACTGTGTTAGTGCACCTGCAAAACTCCCCCTAAACTCTTCAGGGGTAATTTCTTACAAAACATATTTTGGATCATGTCCTGCTCCTGAGGGAGATGTGCAAAATTGCAAAGAAAATATAGCTAAAATATAAAAACTTGATACTTACAGGGATTTGAGTTTAATTAGAAAATCAAACTGGTCTATTTGTATTTTCTTGATGGGGTTGTAAGAAAGGTTCCTGTAAACACAACAAAAATAACTTTGGCCACATTACTTACAGCTTATTCTAAAAATAAAGTCAATCTACTTTTAAAGTTAAATCCTATTATATCCTGATATCATCTTAAGTGTTTCCATGAAATTATTAATTTCTTATGATGTAGCTAACGTAGCTCATCTTGTATGGAGTAACAAGATCTAGAAAAAGGTAGAATTTGAACATGCTGTCTTTTCGGACATGAAAATGCACATCTTTGACAAAATTATTCTGGACAAAATGCAAAAATTGCTTTTGGTGTGTTTTTTAGGCAGAGCTTAAATCATGCGTACAAACAAACTGAAAACATCATATCAAATGAGGAATATACAGTTACGTATAATAATAAACAAGAATCCTTACAGTTGTGAAAGCTCCTTTAGTTCCTTAAATATATATGGAGGAAGTGATTCAATCTTGTTGCTAGCCAAATCTCTGCAGAAACACACAGGTTACAGTAAGTTCTTACTACACACAGTAATTTTACTGAATAGTTTTGCAGTTTCAATATACACAATTGTATTTGTCAAATAGAATATTATTTATTCTATAGGTTATCAGAAATCTGGACTATAAAATAATGATGTTAAAACAAGGTGGGAAGCTATATCTATCAGTTCTTGCTTTGTCACATTAGTTCAGATATACCATTAGATACATAATTTATTGTTATTTTATTTTCATCAAAAAGAAAGTAAAATGCCATTAATTTGACTTGTAGAAGCTTACAAATTAATTAAACATATTGTTTCATGATGGGAATGTTTCTATATGGGCTAAACTGCATTTATTTCTACCTTTCATCTTACTTTCTCTGTGCAGAAATCCTAATAACAGAGGAATAAAGGTCTCAGTCCAACCAAAATTGTCAAACTGGTCTAAAAGACACTGAAGGCACACATGCACCTAGATTGTAGTGATACAAGAATAATTGATATTATTATTTTCAGGGAACATAATGTGAGAAAAGCCCCAATATGATTTATACAGATGATGTATTTTATTGATTATTTTCTTCCTGTTCAATATATTTTTAAAAAAATACCCTCAAGAAGGATGCCATCTCCTCAGCATGTTATATGAAATAGAACTTATGATGAATGATATTTCTAATATAAATCACAAAACTGTGTGACTGGTACAAATAAGAGAAGAAATCTACTCACAATTCATCTAACATCTGGAGAGAAGAAAAGCTGTTTTCATTTATGGAGCTGATTTTATTTCGTCTCATCACCCTGAAAGAATAAAACAAACTTATGTTGCTTCTTCTTGGTGTCTACTTAATTTTGAATATAAGGTTTTATAAACTTTAAAAGTTCTCTGTTCTCTGCATCTTCAAATATTTGCTCAATTCAGTTAATAAGCTAATTGCATCTAGAAGTTTGCCATTTTATCATTTGGTAAATAACTTTTTTTTGGCCTATATATGCGTGTACTTTTGCATATATATATATATACACACACACACACACACACACAAGCGCGCGCGCGTAAACCCATGGAAATCTGGTGCAAATGGACTGAGGCCAGGAGGAAGATTAAGTGGGCTGGAAGGCTTGTGACTTAATCATGTCTCAAACACAGGTACATGGTTGTGCAATTTTTCATTCACCCTTATTTCATCTGCCACTGAGATTAGAAAGCCAAGAACATGGGTACTGCAGAAGAGTTAAAAATTGAAAGCGGCACTACCATGGAGCCTACTGATCTACCAAAAAGTAGAAGGGATTTTCTGAAGTTGGTTATATCATCACTGAAGAAACTTTGGAGAAAATTCTAAAATTGATGAGCCAGTCAACCCACCAGCCAATCAAAATAAGCAACAAGCTGTGTATTTTGTGTGTTTGCTGGTTCTCATTATGATAACTTTAACTCCAATACAAAGGTTATAATGAAAATTTTTAAATCTTAGTAACAGCCAAAGCATCTTCAGTGAAGTCTTGTTATATATTTCAATGCTGAACTTTGCTGTAAAATATAAACAGTGGATATTCTGTGTAGTGCTCACTTCAAACCAAACATTTTAATTTAATATCCTCAAGAAATAAGTAACCATAATACTCAGGAAACTTTTATATTAACTGTAATGAATCACTTGACTGTTCAGTATAAGCACATCTCACTCTGGCTAGCTAGCATATCCAATTACTTACAGTACAGTTAGAGTGCTGCAGGACATGAAAGTGGCATTTTTCACATGATGGATATGGTTGCCTTCAAGGTCTCTGGGATATAAAAGAACACCATCAATCATCGAAAATAAACTCAGGCACTTATTCTAAGGTAATTGAAGAAAAATATTGCCAGAATTTGACTACACAGAAGAGAGTAGGAGGCAGACATGTAATACTTCTGCACACTTAACTGCTGACTTCAGGCCATCAGCCCTGCAGTGACCCAGCGGGCACGCTGCAAGATCCAGCACCCCATAAGAAAAAGTGGTGTGGAAGTGCCATACAAAGACAACAAAATAATATTTTTCCAGTGAAATAAGGTAGACTTACAGCCAGTTTAATCTTGGCATGTATTGGCACAGAGGTTTATCAGGTAAACGAGCAAGAGAATTATTCATCATCTCTCTAAGAAAAAAAAAAAAAGAGGAATAGTACAGCTGGTTATATTTGCACAGTTATATTATAGAAAATGTTCATGTCCCTTATGTACTTCTGAAAAAAAAAACCATTCCTATCTTGAATAGTTTTGAAAGTAGTATTATTTTCTTCAACTTCCACATATTTTCCCTGTGCCATTCTGTGCAGCAGTATTTTATCCTTAGCTTGCTCATGTCCAGGTAAAGGAAAGATGTTCACTCCACTTCACTGCTATTAAAATGAAATGTAGAAATCCAATACAAATTCAGTCAGAACACGTAACTTCTAGGGGTGATGGAGGAAGTGGGATGTGGAGGGAGGTTTCCCTCTGGCATGCAGGGGAAGAGGGTCCCTCATCTTTCTGGCTGGAGAGGTCAGTGGCAGATCTTAGACAGGGTCTTGGGGAGGGGGGTCAGGGTGCCACCAGGGGCAGGGACTATGGGACCTCTTCTGCCCCACCATGGCTCTGGAGGACACCTGGAAGCCAGTGCTGCAGCTGCCTCGACCCTGCCCTTTCATGGATGCTTTTTATCACTTTCCTCCCCCTTCTCCCTATACTTTTCCAAACACTGTATGTCCACTGCTGCCAAAATTCTCCCACTCCAGCACGTTGCCTGGGGTAAGGGAAAGCTGCAGGTGTACTGCCAGCACTCTGGGGAGAGCAAGCATAGTCAGTGTAAAAAGGTTTTTATATGCATATGCCCTTCCTAGTCTGTCCTTTTAAATAGAACCTTTTTTATCTTGTTTCATACTTACAGAAGAATGAGGGATTTGAGTCCATAGAATGTTAATGGATAGATCCGATTTATCCTGTTGTTTTCAATTATCCTATAAATTACAGCAAAATGTGTATCAGATTGATAATTGACTTCAATCTTAAATTCAAGAGATAATAAAAGGTAACAAGCTTTGTAGTGAATTTCTTCAAGAATCCAGTCAAACTACTTATAAAAATTAACACACTATTCTGTGATGGGTTAATATACTAATATCCTTTCTGAAAAATGTAATAAAAAAGTAACTTAGAGAAAATAATTTCTTTCAACTTAGAAATAAGTGTTTTCCTTTGAGCCTTTAAAATCCTTTGATTAAGACACCTTGAATGGATTCTCTGTAAAAACAAAGTAGCACAACCTAACAGTGTTCTGTGGCAATCCAACAGTCCCAAACATGCAGAAGAATGCAAGACATAGTATTTGCTTATTTTTGATAACTTCATCAAAATCTCTCCAAAAGGCAGTAATAAGCCAGTATTTCAGGTTATGACAGTAATTTTGTCTGGACATTCTAAGCACTAGTTACAGGAAAAGATCTGCCTAAAAAAATATATCTGTATACTGTTTTATAGTACCCAGGTTACTTAATATATTAATTTGTAACAAGCAATTCCTAATAAACATTGTTTACCATTGTTAAAAGTCATCAATCATTGAAGCCATTAAGGTTCAAGAATTATTTTCTGCTCTCACAAAAGCCAATTGCATTTTTACCTTGCAGAGTGTAACAGGAGCTCCTTAGTTATTAGCTAGTTTAAAGTAATGCTATGCATAAAAATGAAAGCAATAAAAATATTATATATACTTTAATTAATTATTTATTGAGTAAATAAATATACAAATAAGAAAGCAACATACAGCCATTCAAGCCTGTGAAGGTCTGCAAAGACAAAAGGCTCCAAATTTGTTATCTTGTTGTTGCTCAGGTATCTAAAACAAGACCAACCAAAGATGAATGAATGGAATGATTATTTAGCAGCAAACACATGAAAATGAGTTTTAAGATTATTTTTCCTTGATAATTTACCAGAATACTCCTATTTTGTTAATAATTTTTTTTACTTTGGTAATTTTCATGCCATTGTTTGAGAGGACTCCCTGTGGTGAGGATTTTAAGACCAATTATGTACAGCACTTTGTCTTATCTATAAGAAAGCACAGCCAGCTAAATATTTTCACTGTGTCATATTTTAGATCCTTTCCAGTTTCCTTCTGTGGAGTGATTTGTTCCACGAAAGTTCCATGAAAGTTTCCAGGATCCCATTCATTCTTTGCTAAGGATGTTAGTCATAAATGTAGATACCAGAATAATGGAAAAAGAAAAGCTGAAAACGAATGGGGAGGGGTACTATAAATGGTCTGGGAAGATAATAACAGCAGCTGTAATAACAGATAATCAGCCACACTTGTGTGATGGAAACAATAAGAGGTACAGCTTTGGGAAACTTCCATTCTGCAAACATTGCGGTAAAAGTTCTGAACCAAACAGTGCAATTTATGCGTTGTATCTTTCACTGAGCATTTCCCTTAAAAGTTAGAAACACCTTTCAACAAGTTGCTGCAAAATAGAGAAAAAAGTGTTCCTTTCATCACCTATACTGGTTACTTTGAATTGCATTTGTAAGCCAAAACACCGTGTTAAAGAATTTTCATCTACCACAAGCTCTCGCTTTCATTTTGCTCTTTCTTCATGCTCTTTGGCTTTCAGCAGGGTAACTACCATACTGTCTCCTTCTTCCATCACGAGGATTTGGGGAATAGGATCGAAGAAGTATGGAGGCAGCTTGTGTTTTCAAAGTACTGTCCTGCCAGATAAACTTGCAGAGATGCCTCTTATTCTGTCTTTGCTTTCTCAATTCACTCGTTGGGTTACAGTTTTGGACCACTTTGCAAGTTCCTAATATGGAATCAGGTAGAGAGAGGCTCTCAGAGCTCTGCCTGCTGCTTTCTACTTCAGTATCCCAAAAAAGCAATACTTACAGTTTTGTCAAGTTGTATAAACCTTTGAAAGCACGTTCAGATATGACTCTGATTTTATTATTCTGAAGATACCTAAGAAGATACAAACCCAAAACAATTTATTCTCTAAACAAGTGAAGCTAAAGCAAACATAAGTAAACAACTTAAATATCAGCTAAACTGAATGCACATTTGATACTTTAAAATCAGATGTTATACTAGTTACATCTTGAATTTGGCAATAATCATTTCACAGCTATAGCTGGAAAGATTGCAAGGCTGTTTCTAAAGAAAATCACACAAAGAGCAAAATCATAAAAATCATTCCAATGGATGCTTGCTTTGCCAAAGATAAACAGTGGAGTGGTGGTTTGCAACCTCCTTGATTAGGTCCTAACCTTGCAGTGCTCAGCTGTATGACCTGATCTCTGTGTTTACCCAGATCTCTGCTGCAACCAAAATTTTGCATGGTAAATGTAAGATTGGAATAATTTTTTTTTTTTTTTGTGGTACCAGAGAATTCTCAAAATACTGCATTTGTAAGATAATATATTTAAAAATATACAGCAAATTTTATTAATCTCCTGTTAACTAAAGATACTATTTTTTTAAATTCTGGATTTCTTTATCTACTTTGATGAAGTAATGATTTGAAAAGTAAAAATGCAAATTCTAAGTCTTTTCCAAATAATTTTAATGCATTATAACATTATTCTCTGAATAATATTTGAACTTAAGTCCTTTAAATCAAATTCCACCTAATGAAGCATCTAGATGCATTCCTGCTGGGAAGCAGTAAGAAATGGGACATTGGCTTTTACAAAATGGGTTTGTGCCAAACACTGCTCAAGATCTTTTGGAAAATGTAAAATTATCTATCAGAAGGGTGTGAAGTTGATATTAGAATCAATTTTTTTATACATATATAGATAGATATGGATTAATTTATTTTAGTGAAAACTTACCTTTCAGGAATTTAAGGGACATAATAGGACTTAACTTTCAGAACACAAGATGGTGCTGCAGTGTAGCACAGTTCCCATGAAAGAACACTTTGAATAGGTTACACAGAAGCCCTACTCTAGACTTCTGCATTTAATTTTTATTTCACTACTATATAAAGAAAACTTGTTAAAGGCTATGATTTTTGAACAGCATAAGAAAACTTGTTAAAGAAAACTTGTCAAAGGCTATGATTTTTGAACAGCATGTATGTTACATGCTGGAAAACATAACACAGTATTATATTGCCATAATAATTTGACTTGTTGAGCATTATCAAATCACTACCAGACATAATTAGGAGTAAAATCATGTGCCATGGGAATGAGCTTTCCATGATAATGGGGAGTTTGAGTTTCCAAACTTTTTTGCCAGAATAAATCAATTAACTTACTTTAATTCAATTTGGCATATTCTGTTTATTATAAATGTAGCATCCTTCAGACAAAATTAAAATTTAGTATTTTTCTGGTATAAACTTGTCTATAAACATAAACCATTGAATATGCAGAAATTATAGTTTTGCAAAAAAGAGACAGGTGTCAAATCAAGGTACTTGAGCCAAACAGGGTACACATGAGGTATCAAAAGTGAGACAAACCATACTTTTGTTACTTAAAGGTTAAGCTCCATGTGTGTACATATGGAGGGAAGGAAAAGATGAGTATTTAAGACACTAGGTAGGTATTTTATGTTAAAGCACTCCCTTACAGATTTTTAAGATCTTGGTATTTCTTGAAAACATCAGCAGAAAGTTTCCTTAGCAGATTCCTCTGAAGAGACCTGTAGGAATAAATGCATACAGTAAAACTACTGTGCCAGGTTCCTACAGCGCTTTTGTTATTTAATAAAGCTCACTCTGCCAAACAACAAAAGCAACATGAAACCATCTGAATATGCTTCTTCTGTTCTTCTGTATGCTTATATCTACTTAAACAGTAAGAAAAATACATTATAATAAAAAAAATTCCATGTCCCCAGGAAAAACTGGCAAAATAATAGTTAAAGCTAAGAATGAAAAAGATTTGAATATAAACTACAGATTTATTTCAAACCTTAAATGCATATAGAGTGTATTTCCCAGTTCATGCGTCTCTGTGTGCCATCTCCACTGGGGACACTCAAGTGTCCTGTCAAGAATAAAATTCCTTCAGGATGTGGTTTGATTAGAAGAGAATTTATCCCGAAAGCCAGCTGAACCAGCTCACTGCTTCTTCGACAGCTAGAACTGGGTCAGTATTTTGGAACTCTTTTTCAACCCTGAGCCAGAAGCCAGTTTAAATAGATGCTTGACATTCCACATCAGTTTTTGTTATGAAGCGTTGCAGTATTTGAATATGGACCCAACAAGGAGAACTTCAGCCACATATGAACACAGGCTGGGACCAAAAGGAAAGATCCATGACCCGGATCTACGGGGGAGACCCTCAGGTAAGGACATGGGATGCTGCTCCCTGCTCACCACACCTAAAACTACTTCTCACACAGCAAATCAAGCACATCAACCATATTGTGATATCTTAAAAAAGAGTTTGGCTTACACATACATATCTGCATGATGAGTCAGACCAATTAAATCCTTTTAAATAACACCATATTCAGAAACATCAAATGAGAACTCGATAGATTTGCTCCAGCAGGGAGTTCCACCAAGTTCAAGGTTATTGACTTTATTGGCAGGAACACGGACTAGGAATATTAGCAGGATCATAGAATAAGAAACAGGTTCTAAGCATTTTGTCTTGGAAGGGAGCATTTCTTTTGTAGATTTCCTTAGATATCCTGAAACTGTACCTCAAGTCACTGTTACACACATGAAATGATCGGTTCACAGAGTTTTTTGGTTCCTTAGTTTCTTTTCTCCCCTTTTATGTGAGGAAAACCTGTACTTAAAATATTTAAGTACTTGTCAACAGAGAGACACAGTGCTTCCCAAGCATCAGCGGATTATAATTATAAGGCTGTAGCTGTGAAAAAGTTGTAGGATTGACAGTCAAACTTGAACAGACCAGGTTACTTCTCTACTTACATTATGGTTATGTTTGAAGAGACTGATGGGACAGCACGTAGTTTGGCAGCATCACAGAAAACCTCCAGGCCTTGGCAGGTACACTCTGCTGGCACATCACCAGCCACTGCAGGAGAACAGGAACATGGTCGGGGCAAAAGGTGGCATATGGGGTGTGATGGGACGTGGAGAAAAGAAATATGGTATAAAAGAACAACGAGCGCAAAGACAGACATAGCAGGCTCTTTTAAACACAATTAAGGCACTTGTTTTTACAAAATTGATTTAGACCTTGGAGGAATCTAACAATAAATATAAAAGGACGCAAAAAATTATATTATCTCTGTGAAAGAGCTTGTAAAAGCTCTTGAACCTTAGGCATGATATATAAGAATCTGGAATGCGTTTTTTGCAAGACTTCTTTAGATTATTCAGCAATCTTATTACTAGAAGGAGCACAATTTCTATGGGTGAAAATAGGTCAAAAATGGGTCAGGAAGTCTTTGCTCATCAGAGGAGACAGCAGAATCAAAAACTCTGTGCAAAGACCTGTGTAAGTGGAGGGGGTTTGCAAATTTCATTTGATGTACAAAGAAATTAACTGGGAGCAATGTTGCCTTCATTTCACTCTGAAATATATGTCAGTTCTGTGGTCTCTCCAGCAGTATCAGCATATTTAGATAAACATTTATATTGTCCTCCTAATTGGCATATGCTAATTAAAATATGTTTGACACTTTTCTTGCAGAAAATGAATCATCCTTAATGGAACTGAAATTAGCTTCAAATTAGCATTAATTCAATTGAGATATTATGCTGTTTAACTATAAATGAAACAGCATCAGCACTAAATTTCTTGCTAAGAATATATTTGTTCTGTATTTCTTTCTAGGAATCATCATTAATAAAATAATATCTGTAATTTACTTACAGCACTCAGGTGTCTTTGTCTGAAATGCATACAGAGATTTCAGTTTATTGTATTTGTCCTTTGTATAGTGTTTATCAAATTGCAGAGACCATCCGTTGTTGTCCTCTAATAAAAAACCAAAAAACAATACAACATAAACAGACCACAAATAGAAGATGCTAAAATAGAAATGGAAGGCAGGAATGTTTTCACTTAATGTAGTTGCATCAATTTTTGTCTAATTAATACAGGCCTTTATTCCAGAGCATTTCACACACCATTAGATAACTTTATACAGCTGCTTAATCTTACCTATCTACAAATAATATGAATTGCATAGAAGTAACAGTGTATTATACCTTCAATAACAGCATTTGCTGTGACAGTCACACTGAAAAAGTATCGATGGGACTTCAGAAATGTTTATTTATGTAGAAGCCTAAAAATGAGAGTGAACAATATTTTCATACTTCCTTGAACATGCAGGTTTGCCACTTTGTCGAGGAAAGTTGAAATGACTACTATGACTCTTAAGTAGTTTGTGCAGAGGGATGTCTTGCACTGTCACAGCCTATAATTTCTTTCCTAAAAATCTAGAAGGCCAAAGGAACACTGCTTTTCAGGAAAAGAAGAGACTTGTAATCTACTCAAGTCAGAATGTTAATGTTAAGCTTAATATGCATCTTAAACAAAGCATGATTCCATATTACCCTTTTGGTCACTGTGCATAGATGTACTGGAACTGAGTAGTTTATGGACGTAAGAGCAAAATTTAAGAGCAAAACTTTTAGTTCAGTCCAAAGACTGGACATTTCAAGGTATGGTAGTGCTAGAAAAAGCTACAGATCTGTTAGCTACTTGTTTTTTGGAAATCTATTGTATATCTGAGACCTGTAAATTGACTCATCAGGTAGCTACTTTCCAAACAGGCTGGAAAGGGAAAGGGAACTTGCCTTTAAAAGATGTGATTGGATTTTAGTTTTATTAATTTGAGTCTGACTTTGGTTTTCTTTATTTGAGTCTGCCTTCTCCTCAGCTTTTAAAGCATCTCTTTTAATGAACATGCAGCAGTAGCAGAAATACTCCTTGGGATGGCACTCACTAGCTGGTAAGCCAAAGCATCCATGACAATTGAAAGCAGCACACTTTAAAGATATCTACTGCAAAACAACATTTCTATGAGAATTCTCAGGATGGCTCTGCTTTGCTAGTAATTACAGTCTCAGATTCACCTTTATGATGTACTGGCAATAGTCTTTACCCCTGTAATTTCACAGGTTTATAGTTTAGTTATACTTAAATACAATTCCTCATGGATATTTCTCTATAAATCTTTATATTTAAGTAAGCATTATTACTATATATATAGGCTTCAAAATAGGCAGGGAGAGATAAAAAATATTTAGTTCTTTGCAAATGTTCCCATTCTGAAATGGTTTATCATTTTTCATGCCACATTACAACTCAGTTTTTGTTTTCTCAGACAGGCAATGAAATGACCTTGAAAACATCTCCTGACACCTGCCTACAGATGAAGCTGGTTTTGAGAGATGCTTGCCTCTTTGCTGCTGAAAAGATGTGTTATACACACAGATTAATGATACTATGAAATATTAAGTAACTTCAGGCAAGCTATCCTTCATCTAGTTATTTGTTTGTTATGCATAAATTGAAAAGATGAAAGATTCAAAGCAAACATAAGTGCCTGTCTTCAGGAATTGCTCCAGTGAGAGAAAAGACAGACCTGGTAAGACATTTAAGAACACTTTATTAACTTCCTTAAGAGCACCTTGCATGCTCTGATCCATTAGCAGTTTTGCCATTCTAGATCATTAAGCTAATATTCAGAAGCAGCCTAATGCATTTTGGACAAAATGAAAGGTATTGGCCAACCTTCTCCTGCCTGCTTTAAATGCTCAAAAGATCAGTGTTAGCACTGCCTGCAGCATGGAATTTGTAATTGATGAAGTGATGAGAACAGACCCTTTGTCAAGTGGCAAGTGCATTAAAACCTACTGCCCTGCAGATGGGACCATAGTGAGGTGTTCTCTGCCACTATTCCTGAATATTTAACTGGAGCACATCCATTGACTTTCGTTGATATGACTGGACTCAGCAATATGTGGAAATTCAACATACACAGAGGAAGTAAGATTTTTAAGTAGAAACTTGGAAAAATGGTTTAAAAATGAGATTATTGTTAAAGTATGAATTATACCAAAAGAATGCTTTGCAGTCAGGAATACAGTGTGAAAATACTTTTGGATTTCCTAATTCATTATTATGTTCATATAAAGTAGCTATATGAGATTTTTTCCCCACATTTTTTGTACTTTTAAAATGCCTTGTCATGTGACAAAGCATGTACAAGAGGTGACCATCAATGCATTTCACATCTGCAGAGAAAAAGGATGAGAAGTGCCTCCCACACTAATGGGAATCATGGAGAAATTTGCCACAAAGGGGAAGTTCCTCAACATTTTTGAGGAAGTCTAGAGGCAGCTGTGTATTTTTGGGTGGCCATAAAAAAGAAGGGGAAAAATTCACAGAGAAGATGGATTATTTTGTACTGGAATGGTTCCAGCTGTTTGGTGTTTCTAGTGAGTTAATTTTAAATAACGGGCTTTTCTCATGGCATGCTTTCTACTAGAAATAAAAAGGGCTATTTGAACATAATAAAACAAGTTATTAAACATCTCTTGACCTCCAGAAAGATATGCTTTGGGGCAAACTTTGTGCCCAAGCATGGGACAGTCTCTATTTTATCCAGACTGTTTTGTCAAATCCTGAAAGAATGTATTGTGCAGAATAACTATGTTTAGCATGACCAATCAGTGAAACACTCAGTGGCAGAACTGTAAATCACTTTTTGGTTGTTTAGAGTTTAGATGAAGGTTTGTGGCCTGTTTTTACCTCTTTCAAGGTAAGGTTCTCCAAACACTTTAAGAAATGACTGGTAATAGTACTGGTCTTGAAATCCCAAATCTATAATTTGAGGGAGTACAGGTCAGATGAGAAATTACTGCTACCCTGAGCCAGTTTTAAAATAGATTATGTTGGCCATAGTTCTGTTAAAAAAAAAAACAAACACCAAAAACAAAGAGATCTGAGAAAACAAGGCATCACTAAATCTTCCTCTACACAGGATAAATTATATAAGTGGTGGCAAACTGGATTTATCTGACTAGAGATTAATATGCTCTTTTTTACTGAAAGTTTCCAACCACCACTTTTGATGGGAATGAGAAAGAGCATGTTGATCCTGACAAACTACAAATTTGAGTAATCATTTCAGTGACAGATCCAAGGAAGTATCGTCTTTTCTCAATTAAAGACATATCTCTCACTTAGTATGGAGCTTATGATAGGGATGCTATCTATATGACTTCCCCTTTTTGTCAGCCATGTCTTCATGGGTATTATACAGAGAAAAGCTATCAGCTAAATGCATAAACACTCTAAAGAGACACTGTGTCACCCTTTGAATTTGCCTTTGCTCTTGGTGGTCATAACCTTTGGACATATTTTTTTTTGTCAGTTGCTCAAATACACTTTTTCTTGCTATAAAGAATTACTTCAGGCTTTTCACAACAGTACCTTTTGGTACAAGGAAGACCCCTGTCCTCCAAACAAGAAGAATTTTCTTTAAAAATATTTACAGATTGAAGAATATAATTGCCCTTTATCACAGTGTTGAGGCATCCTGATACAGCCTCATAACTTACAACAAGACCAAAACTACACAGAGATTTTACAAAACCAAGGGCTGTGGTGCCTGGAGGAAGGGCAAAGTTGGGATGGAATTTCACTGTCTCAGTCTGAGTATCCAATCAGAAAAACTTAAGAACTTAGAGCTAGACATCTTATCAATCAATTCAAAGGTAAGTTACCCCACAGCAATCTGCATGTCACTGCACATATACTGTGTCCTCTACCTGCTGATTCATTGAAATCACATGTAGCTTGTCTGCTGATATGTGACATGGTAATCATGGTAAACCAGACAGGAAACAAATTAATTTGCATAAAGTTTACAGTTCTCTGGATGAACTAGATTACATACTTGCCCAAGTTTTTTTTTATGATTTTAGGGCAACTCAATTAAGCTAGTGCAACTTTTAAGAAAATAGGCAGGTTAAAGTTTCCAGAAGATAAACATCTTCTCAGTGTTTAATCTTTATTCCTATGAAATACGTGCATTGAGTTTTCTAGTTTTATAACAATACTTTTAATCTATATAATTTTTTCTGATTTTATATTCTGTTTTTCTTGAAGTATATTAAATTTTTAAAATCAAAATAATCTAACAGCATGAATACATCTATAGCACCTTTTGTTGCTTGAAAGTTCCTTTGGCAGTAACCCACTACAGTGGAGACCAGGAGAGGCATAAGTCTAATGAAATGCAATTTCCTCTTAATTACCAACAATATTTAAAAATCACAGTAGCAAAACTGACTAAAAACCCTCAAAATTTCAGCAAAGCTATTCCATGTGCTGATATTTGCACATCAGAGTAAACCTTATTGTTTTGGTGTCATATACTGTGAATGGATGGCAATGACAATAAAATTTGGCCATATACAAAAAATTTCTATGTGAAGCTTTAAAATTCTCTGTTTTCCCAGGTATTTGATACATTTTTAGTACACTATTGACTGTCAAACATTTACTTTATGCTTCACAAACAGAATTTGCTATCTAGGCTCAGAAGTGAGTACCACCTCATTCAAATCCTGTATTTTAAGTTCGATGGTAAAAGTGCCATGCCAGGAAAACACAAGACCAACCGTAACATTATTAATTACTAGTATTAATTTGAAATATAAAAACATCAAGGTCTTCTGCAATGTGCTGATACAAAAGTGAAATTTCTCATCCCTTATGGGCAATCCTGTAATATTAAAACATATATCTTTCGTATAGATGTTTTGAAATACCCGACAGAAATTTAGATTTCTGTTATGGAAATCTAGAAGATTTAATGAACCTACAGAACTGCAATAGTTCTATGTACAATTATGGACCTTCAAAGAAGTACATACAAATCAGCATTACATTATACAGGCTGTTAGTCTGTTTATCCTGTTGAATTTTTATTGGTCCCTTTTAAATAAAGAGGTGCT